TTTGTTAGGGTTTTATATTGGTGTGCTTTGGCGAGCTGGCAGTTATCCTATGCTCTTTTGTTTTTGCCGGGGTTCATGTTACTGTACTAGGCCTGTTGCGGGATAATTTCCAGTGCCCCCCAGGTCAGTGGTTTTCCATTGCAATTTATGCGTCTCCGTTTGCAATGATATGCTCGTAGTTTTAAAGTGCGTAGTGTTCAGGGTGTTTTGGTCAGTGTTACTCAGTTTTAGTGTTTTTTCCCCTCCCTCCTTACCCCTTATTATTACTGTTAGTATTATTATTGTCCTTATTTCTCCACTGAACTCTCAGTTCAGTGTGATGGGTGCTTGGGCTGGGGCTGGGTGTGGCTGGTGGGGCTCGTGGCTGGGTTGTAGGTAGGGCAGGCTTTTGGGGTGTTCTTGCTACCTGGGTTAGGGGTGTTGATGGCTCCAGCTCGTAGGTTCCTAGGCACCCAACCTCCATGTGCAACTCAGGTGTTTTAAAATCTACTCATAACATGTGAAATCTTCCACCATTTACTCTTGGTCTTCAGCACCAAAACAGCCAAACCATCACTCTGCTTCTTTGCTTGATTTCTGTGCATCCTTTTCCAGTTTGGAGGTGTGTCTGACAGAATGGTTAACAACTTGAACTCCAGATGTGGAGGTCCAGGGTTCAATCCTCGCGTTTCGAATGGTTTCCTTAGACAAGGAACTTTACACCACTTTGTCTCTCTTTACCCAGGTGTATTTAACGATTATTCCTCGAGCCCGAATGGTCTCTGAGTCAATAGCCCATGAGGCAGAAGGCTGAATGGGCTATTGACTCAGAGGCCATGGGGGCGAGAGGAATGATTGTTTTAGTAAAATCCGACTAGTTGGTCAAAACTATTGAGACAAAACAACTTAAGCCAGCATAACGCAATTCAGCCGCCATTGTTTTGGTTTTTCGAAGCCGGCGCTCTTCACTACTAGTGGGCTATAACATTATAGCCTAGTAGTAGCTCAACCAATCAGAACGCAGCATTGATCATAGACCACTAGTTGGATTTTACTAAAAATGGATACCCGCAAAATACTGCTAGGGGGGTAACCCTCCGATGGACTAGCATCCCATCTAGGGGGGAACAGGGAATGGCAAGACTCCTGTAGTCATCCTTCATGGTAAGGAAGCTGGGATAAGCTCCAGCCTTTTGGGGCCTTTGGCTTGCATACACCTGTAATCTTTTTTTTACCTTTTCCAGTCTGAGACTTTACTTTTGACATCAGCCTTTAAATCAAGGCAAACATCTTTCAATTTTGGCAAATAACCAGCAGGCTCAGGAAAGAAATACCGGGGCAGCCATGGAATTTAAGCCAATCAGTCAGGGATGGAGAAATATTTTAAATGTACACACTGTAGCTATAATTGAATTACAGCAGAAGTTTTCTTCGCAAAATGTGTTTGTCTTGAACAGGAAAGTAGAGCTGTACAGTATGGAGTGGCAAGATGCTGTGGATCTATCCCGGTTTATTGTGAGTGCAGCACCTTTTGGTGGTCCAATAGGTAAGTACATCAGACTCCTTCTAAGTGTCGTTTAACTTGTACAGGGAGTACAAGTTTCATTTCCCTCATTATTGTAGGGTAAATAGGACTCACCATGGTAAACGTTTAAGAGCCAGAATCAAAGAAATACTCTTAACAGCACTGTAAGTTCCGGCGTTAATTTGTAAGTTACAGTACCGTTCAAAAGTAAGTTGACAGTCCATTGCGAGTTTCGATTCTCGACTCGATTCACGATTCTCGATTCCTGCGCGAATTGAGAATCGAGAATCGAAAACAAGCTATTGAGAATCGAGTCGAGAATCGAGTCTCACAGGACAGAAAACAAAAGATTCACCCATGACTGATTTCTCTAATTTTACAATTTTGCGGTATGGTTACATTCCCACAAGCGACTGTATGCGTGAAACAAGACCAATTCAAATTATAAAGCGAATGTTTCTTCAAGGGCATCTGTATCAAGCTTCATTTCCTCAGCTAAAGTTTCAAATACCTGCTCCAAATGCAAACAAACAGCACGTTTATTTTGTAACGTCAAACGATTCTGGGCTTAATCGGCCGCTTGGCTTGATAAAGATCAGCTGTAACATACACGTCCGTCTGTAACATGACTAATCTTTTGCTCTGAAATTGTGTTCATGATCCTTGAAAACTTTCGAGAAACAATGGTTTTGATTCTACTTTTAATTTAGCGCTTTCTTAGTTTGAGGTAATCGCTCGTAAAATTGGGCCTGCTTTTTTCCGTGATGGAACAGGATACGAGTGAACTTTTTCGTTGCCTAGCAGGTGACTGCAGCTACCGTGATGAAAAATTGCGCAAGTGGTTTGTATTATACGCTACTAAAAATTGTTTTCAAAGCTCTTGGAGGTTTCTGAAGATTTCTGGCATGTATATTCAAATCGAAACTTTCATGTACGCAATCACGTCCCATAAAAAAGCAAAGGGCAAAATATCAAACTGAGATGCTTTCACGTGCACATATCACAAAAACAGCAATTCTGGTCAAGAGGTCAAGTTACAAGCAGAATTAATTACAAGTAAAGTTTCCAGCAAAAAAACACCCTGACTTTGGACACCGATGAGCAGACATTCAACCGCGATAATGCTGATGGGCATTCACAAACAGGCAATCGAAAAAAAATTGGTCAGTAGAATTCCAAAGACAAGCCGAAGAACAAAAGCAACAAGACTTTGTTTACACACCATCGTGTATTAAACATTTATTTACACAAGCCTTTTATTTTGGATTTTAAAGACAAAAGGTCATGGATTGCTTTTCAAGTTCAACTAGTGAACTGGCAACTTTTGCTACTTAAATGATGCAAAATGCCGTTCGAACAATTTAAAGGTTTCAACACAAAGTAGCACACGAGCTGTGCGAACGAATGCAAATTTCCTGAAGAGTTCTCCCGAGACAGCTGTCAACTGCTATTTGCATAGTTCAGGAATTTCTCACAAGAATCAAACGCTGAGTAGAGTTTGTTATTTTATAGAGTACAAAGACTTTTCTGACGTGAGAGAAGTTAGAAGATTACTCAAAACTTGAACAAAGGTTGTTACTTGTAGACTCTCACTGCAGTCGAGTATCAAGAGTAGAGAGCGAGTTACTCGAAACTAAACAAAGGCCGTCCCAGTTTGATGGGTCTTGCGGGAATGAAGAATNGAAGATTTCTGGCATGTATATTCAAATCGAAACTTTCATGTACGCAATCACGTCCCATAAAAAAGCAAAGGGCAAAATATCAAACTGAGATGCTTTCACGTGCACATATCACAAAAACAGCAATTCTGGTCAAGAGGTCAAGTTACAAGCAGAATTAATTACAAGTAAAGTTTCCAGCAAAAAAACACCCTGACTTTGGACACCGATGAGCAGACATTCAACCGCGATAATGCTGATGGGCATTCACAAACAGGCAATCGAAAAAAAATTGGTCAGTAGAATTCCAAAGACAAGCCGAAGAACAAAAGCAACAAGACTTTGTTTACACACCATCGTGTATTAAACATTTATTTACACAAGCCTTTTATTTTGGATTTTAAAGACAAAAGGTCATGGATTGCTTTTCAAGTTCAACTAGTGAACTGGCAACTTTTGCTACTTAAATGATGCAAAATGCCGTTCGAACAATTTAAAGGTTTCAACACAAAGTAGCACACGAGCTGTGCGAACGAATGCAAATTTCCTGAAGAGTTCTCCCGAGACAGCTGTCAACTGCTATTTGCATAGTTCAGGAATTTCTCACAAGAATCAAACGCTGAGTAGAGTTTGTTATTTTATAGAGTACAAAGACTTTTCTGACGTGAGAGAAGTTAGAAGATTACTCAAAACTTGAACAAAGGTTGTTACTTGTAGACTCTCACTGCAGTCGAGTATCAAGAGTAGAGAGCGAGTTACTCGAAACTAAACAAAGGCCGTCCCAGTTTGATGGGTCTTGCGGGAATGAAGAATTGAGAATTGAGATGCAACAATTGAGAATCAAGTCTCGATTCTCAACTCGAATCTCTATTCTCAATTCTCGCAAGGATCGAGAATCAAGTGTCAACTTACTTTTGAACGGTACTGTATGTCTATATCAGCAAAAGTCCATTATACTGTACCAGAATTTTGTTTCAGTCAACTGTCTGTACATGTCAGGGGATTTGGCTGAAAAAAGTTTAAAGGAAGAAAACAACTCTGAAGAACATCTTGCTTCTTATTATTTTAGAACAGCTAGTGCATAAAACATACAATTGATACAATATTAAAAAATTTCATTACTTTCAAACTGCAGTCCAGCTGTGTTGTATCTAGATGCTTAACTGTCAGTAATAGTTAAAAAAATATATAATTGAAGGGCTCCATGCTAATTGCCTAATGCCCCTGTGGTGTATTTTTGGAATGATTGGGATTTAAGCACCGTGGTAGGTTTAATCGCTAATGCACACCATTGGTAACTCATGTACTCTTCTACATACATGGAGGATCATGTAGCAGCTGCTCAGAAGAGAAGTCACCAATGGTGCCTAACCCTGATCCCAAACAATACTGAAACAATTGAAAGAACGACATCATTGTTTTCTGCGACCAGTTAGGAGAGACCTTATGAGCAGCTCCTACACAACTGTACATGGGGGGTGAGGATGGTACACCAAAATATTTACATGTCCTGCAGCCCCCCACATTGAGATTTCCTTTTTGGAGGAATGGTTTGTATTTGTTGTATTTAAAATTTTCAGCTCTGATAAGAGATGACAAGCATTTTGCTCGAGTCCAAGGATCAGCTATTAATAAACCCATCATTCACATTTTTTCCTCTGCTGGAAGGGAACTTGCCACAGTCAAGGTATGTGGTTTTTTTTAAGGTCTGCTGCTGCTTTTTGTTTAACCTGGGAACACAGACAAAGAGGAGTGTCGACCACGCCGAGCAGGCTACTTGTTTTTTAATGTTGACAAATTTTGGCAGTATTGTTCTTGGCTAGAAGACTAATTGTCATCATTTTCTGTTATTGCATTGGAAAAGGGCAGGAACTTGTATCATCATATGGTTGGTTCTGTGAGCAGGAAAGATGAAGTAATATTCGGACTGGTTACTGAAGCAGGCAGAATGGATCTATCTTAGTCCATCACTAGTCTGCTTCACAGCCGTTTTTAGTGTTGTCACACAATGCTCCTACCCACCTCCCGTTGTGTGACAATGCTAAAAATAACACTGAAGAAGACTAGTCCATCAATGCATGGGAACAAGAACAAAAACAAAAATGTTCTGCTTCAGTAGGCTCTTGATCAAGTGTTCTTTTTTGTTCTTAGTGGGATGGAGGCCCCATAGTTCAGATGGGATGGTCCGTCACAGAGGACCTACTTTGCATGGCTGATGATGGTACCGTGATGGTGTATGACATTCATGGCGCAATCAAGAAAACCTTGTCAATGGGACAGGTAAGTGTTAAATCATTTTGTGTCATGAAAAGGCTGAAAAAGAAGACATGATGCATGCATGGTTGGAAAGCACCACAGCTTGACAACTTCTAGTCAACTTGAAGCTCATCTTAGCCCATTGATGCCATATCTTATGTCAGTAAATTCTTTAACCACCCCAAGTAAATAAATTTTCTGACAAATTAAATAATCATTAATTTTTCCATAACTATGAGCAAAATGAATGTAATTTATAATATCTTATCATCGAAAACATATAATAAGTCATTGACTGTTTGCTACTTTATTAAAAGGGTTGTACAAAAATAGAGTATACTTATACATATACTTTTTGTAGCAAAGGCTTGGCCATTGAATAATATTACCCGTATGTCGTGTATGTTTCAGGTCAAAATTTCAATTCAGGTTAAAAGCTTTTTGCCTTGGTTGATTCTCTATCTCCTTTGTCTCCTAGTACTAATTCATTCATGAATTAGCTCTATGAGATGAAGGAAATCAAGAATCAACCTGGATATGATTTTAACCCATAGCATACATTGTATTGATGTTGTTTTTGCATGTGGCCTTATCAAATACACAGCAACTTCATAGATCTGGTTCTTTTAAGTTGGGTACAGGAGACGAAACTGGTAATTTACATCTGCATTTTTTCGTAGGATGCCAAGGAATCCAAAGTTATTGACTGCAAAACCTATAATTTTGCTGGAAGGACTGGCATAGCTATCCTGACTAGTAATTACCACTTTTATGTCGCAAACAACGTGGAAGAGGTCAGGAGTCGACGGTATTATGATCCACCAGGTAAAAAAATTCATAAAGTTAAGTGTTTCAGAGAGATTAATCATGTTTTATTTTTAAGTTACATGTTCGTCTCACATGTTTTTGTGATCTATAGAACTCAATATGTGCTTGTGTCTCACTTTCCTTTGCTGATAAGTTTGGATTTAATGAGAGTTAAAGTGTTGTTCAACAGGCAATAAAGAAAATTGTCACGCATCACTCCTTGTAGCATTTGACTGACTTCAAGTGGGCTTGATTTCAAATTTTTTTATTTGTTTTTTTGCGGCGTGAATATTTTTCAGACTTTCCTCTCTTAAATATTTACAATGATCTGTCTTAGTTAAATGTGTATTTTGCCACATTTTTCACAAGGAAAACAGTAACTGCTGTCGATCCCGAGAAAAAAATTCTGTCACCTAACTACCTGAGGGCTGTCCCTATCTGAGAAGACTAGAAAGTCTAATCTTTGCAGATGTCTTTAGAAAGGCAGCATTTTCTGCTCAGCATTAAAAGACCTCCGCCTGAGTGTTGGTTTGTCCGGTGTGTTGAATCAGCGACCTCTCGCTTAGCAGACCGGCGCTTATCCAGCTGAGCTAACCGGACGGCAAAAAATGAACAGTCATGAATCTAAAGAAACATAGGGCCAGTTATTTAAACGTAGTTTAGCCAGTGTTTAACAAAACCGCGTTCTGAGCCATTTTTCAATTTGCCCAACGGTTTTATCTAAACACCGTTTATTGTGAAGTGTTTTATTAAAGCATATAGAGTAGATTAGAAAAGCATTTATCTTCTTAAAATATCGCACTAAGGAAGAGATTCTGGAGGTCCAAAGATTCGTTAAACCCCTGCTTAAATTAAACTTCGTTTTTATAACCAAGCCATACTGTTTTTAACCAGGTTTGGATGCTCCACCCAGCAGCTGGGTCATTATGCCGCACGACAGAGGTTCATCGTTGCTAGTGGCAATTGATAATCTGTTATACCTTACAGAAAAAGGACAGTGTAATAAACTGGTGAGCTGTAGTATACAGTAGAACTGTTATCATCAGTGATACAACCACTTATAATCCAATCATTGTTTCTCTTCATCCATGAAAAATAACTTCAACCTCGAAACATGCTTGCTTTTTCATAAAGTTCCCGTCTTTAAAACGTCTGCCTTTTCGTCGGCGGTTCAGGATTTGAAGAAAAGTTTACTAAGCAGATATTTGCACACCGATTGCAACTCAGCAACGGTGGCGAAAACAATTTTTCAAACGCGGGCGAGTTTTGGGCTTTTCTAGGAGTTAAATTCTTAGAGACCGCATTCAAGTTCAGAAAGAAAGAGAAAAATTCATTGATCATTGTATTCACGTTTTCCATACAACGTGAAATTAGGAAATTTCCCGGCTCTGTATAATGTACCAGAAGCGTGGTGCCCTTGCAGAGTTATCGTTTAACGAAGTTTCGACCGGTTTAAAAAATTTGAGGGGACACATCGTTCACCCGCAACCGTTCAATATTTTTTGCTGTTCACAGGGAACTTTGAACGGCTATGCGTCTGAATTTTCGAACGGTGAGGGTGATGTTATACTAGACAATGCCCCGCAACACAGCGTTGCAATGTTGGAACAACGTTGCAACCATTCGAAACAATATCGCAACAATGTTGCAACGCCGTGTTGCGGCTTGCGCGAAAAATCGTTGTTGCGAATTCGAGTGAACGTTCGACTGAATTTTCAGCCGGTCGAAAATTCGTCCTGTTCCCTTTTTGACTTTCTCTTTGCTGTCTCTGTCTCGACATCGTAAACTTCCTCTTGAGTGCTAAGTGTAAGACAGGTTGCTACTTTTTACCAATCCTGAATCAGCCACAGCGCGTAGCAAAGCAGTGGGTGCAGGGAGAAGGAAGGAACGGAGGGGAAAAAATAGAGAAGTGTGTTGAGATGTCGCAATGAGAATATTGTACATCTCTGGCTTTATCAGTGTCACAACTTTAAATATGAAATAGGGAAGTCTCGATCGTTTATAATGTTGACAAATTTTTCTCCGAACTCACACATGCTCACCGGCTACTGTTGTTGAATAGTTTTGATATTATTCAATTTTCAGACTGTTTCATTCAGCGCTGAGGCCCCGGTTACTTCCATCATAGAAATGGCCATATCTTACAATTATGAATACCTAGCAATGTTTACAGACACTGGTTTGTTATGGATAGGATCAGCAGATTTACAGGTGGGTATAACACTGTTACACTGTTAAGCCCGCAAATTTAGCTATCGGAGGACGAGTTCGAGCTGCCAGCGCCGAGTTGACTCGGACCCTTAGAAAATAAGAACGAGTGGCGGTCTAATTCAACTGGCAGTACTAGCTTTGATTCTATATCAAGGTTTGAAGAAAGCATGTAAAAAGGATTTGTTTATACTACTTGAATTTGAGGTATCTTTTCTTGTGACAAATGACGACCTGTAAAATATCCGTCTTAGTTCTCCATGGTGGGATATGATCATTAATAATATTTAGTTTAGCCACTTCTTCCTCGGAAACCTTGCAAAAACAATTTCATGTCATCGCAAAGTTGATTTTTATTGCGTTCACTTAATTTGCCGACATCTCCGCAAAGCGAGGAAGCTTAGCAACCCGGGCCGTTAGGCCAGGCCCTGAAGAACTCAGCTTAAGTACGCCTGTATTTCGCAGTTCTTTGAATTTTGCAGTTATTGTTGTATTTCTGTCTTCTTTAGAAAGTCTACTGTGAGTTCAGTACTTCTTGTCCATCAAGACCCAAGCAACTAACCTGGTAAGGAGGGAGCAATTGTTGTTTCTAGAATGAAGGCTCTCGTCTTTTATGACGAATTCTCGCCCGGTTGGCCGGGCCATTCTTTTGAATTCAAACTAAGAGCCATCGGTGTTTTTCTTTCTTCCTCCACCCATCAAGCGACACGTCGCCGACACGTGTTGCTGCAACTAATCTCCTGACCTGTACACAGGGAGTAATCTTGGGCATAAATCGTTGAACGTGATGCCGTGAAAAGAAAATCTGTGCTCAGTATATTTGGGTAATTTGAATTGAAAGCGAAAGAGCGCAAATAGTTCGTCCATTATGTTTCTATTTGAGGAGTGTAGTAAGAGACATAAAGGACTTCATTAATACTTTCGACGACGGCGTCATTCAGTGATTTTTCAGTTATACATGATGAATTGAAAGTATAGCAAATCTTAGCGAGTGGTCAACATTCGCCGATGACACTGCTCTGTTACCATCTACCAAGCGAAGTTTGTAACGTCGCTTGGTCAGAGATTTTAGGCGGGAAATAGTTCTCGTGTAACATGTCATGTGTCCTCGTAGTAACCAACAAGAGTGCTCCGGCGGTCGATGTTGGGGAAAATTCCACCCACAGTATAATCGGTTTTTTTTTTACTGATCTCAGCCGTAATCTTTTCTTCTCTTTGCTAGGCTGCTTCCTTTGGTTAGAGTTTTCTAACTGATATGCCGCCACACGCGTTTTTTTCGATGTGCCGGAATCTTAGAGTGTTAAACGCCATGCGGGACTACATGGTTGGAATTCCACTTACATATGGACAATATCCTTTATCTTAATTCAAGAGTGAACCAAATTTCAGTTGTTGCAAAAGCCTCGTCTCACAGGTTACGTTTTGCCCAATTGCAGCGTGTTTTGCAGCAAGTGTATACTATGCTAGCCTCCGTAGCAACACGAAATTTTTTTTTATTTTTCGGGTTAATTTGCAATTGCTTAAATTGTAATTTCCACCTTCATTGAAACTTGCATTTCCGCAGTTCACATCATCTTCAAGTAAGTTATCATTGCTCTAGTCCCAACACTTTCGACGAACTTGCGCGGAAACTTTTTCTACTTAGTCTAACACTATGCCAGATAGCTCTTGCGTCGGGACAAAAACCATCCCGGAGAGTGTTTCTGTCCACACAAGAGAACGGTGATTTTGGTGCGATTTATGTAACGGGGCAAAACTGCGGGGTTTAAATTACTTTTTTTTTTTTAAGGAACGAACGAGGTATGTTCCTTTTTCTCTTTTTTGAAACGGATATGTTAAAAGTACGTTAACACAGTTTTCAATTTTGTGGCTCTTATTAAGTTCTTAAAGTGGGCTCCATTTTGCTTTTTTGTCCTCTGAGAGTACTCTGGTTATTTTCAAAAATTATCCAATTTTGACGCCTTGACGATCGTCTTATACTGGAAAAACTAACAATGAAGACCCTTATCGACAGGTGAGTTTTGTTTTTGTCATGCTGTTTGTTATCTTTTTAAAAAAGGTAAAACGTGAAATGCTTAAGCATTTTTTGAGGGGGAGGGGGAGGGGGCGGTAAAAAAGGTGTATTGCATATAGCTGGAAATTTTTTCATAACAGTGCGCGCTCTCATTGGTTTCTCCGAGGTCACATGACCGTTACAGCGAGGGAAGCGAGGTTTAATGAATTTCCAGCTATATAGCCTCGGGAAACATTGAGATTCTCGGAAAACAAATTTAACTGTTTCCCTCGAGACCAGTCATTAAGTGTTTAAGTGTTTATTGTACTGTGAAACGTTCAATAGGTTCCGAGCTTCAGCTGAGAATCAAACTTACGACCTTTCGAGTTCGAGGTCAGACGCTCTCCCCACTGAGCTGCTGGGAGCTCTATAGTGTGGAGGGTCGAAATTTTTATTGATTATACACCAGACCCGCTATAGTACATAGTACGAAATAGTACTTTTAAGAAAAAAAATAGCAAAATGAATATGATGTATGTCCGATAACCTTTCTCTTTTGCCTGACTAAAATGGTAACGTGGTGGGACTTAACTCATTTCTAAATATCAAAATTATTTGCATTCCTAGTGAATATAAAACAAGTTTAAGCAAAGTTGTTGTTTTTTTACTTGCCTACTTTCCGTGTCTAAACCGTGATTACTACATTGATTTTTCCACCAACAGACCTGGAGAGGGAATTATTTCCCTTAAGTTTATTTTATTACCGTTTATTTTCTCCTCATGCAGGCTTGTTTTGAGGCGTCACTACTGTCTGGCCATAAGAATCTGTGATTACTGGAAGATTCGTAAGGGGGAGGGTGCCAGTCTTATCCTTGGACACTTGGCTCGTTATAAAGTGAGTGTAACCAGCGGATACCGGTTGGCTGTTACCTATATGTAAGCAGGGGTCTTCCTGCAATCAGCTGATGGCTGGTAATTAATAAAATTGGTAATGGTGAATTATAGTTGTGGCAGTAGACATGACTGGAGTTGGGTGTCCGGTGGTTGTTTCATGTGCTGAATTTGGCTCATTTCTCTTCGTGTTTGTGTATTTATCAAAGATCACAAAATCAACCTATGAAAAGATCTAGATCAATCAGACTGGATTGTACGCGGTGAAGACAGCGTGGCCAGGCGCCCATCACGTTGTTTTCGCAATTCGCCGGTCCCGGGTTGGAGTCCCACTCTAGCCACTTGCTGAATTTACTCGCGGTCCGGTATTTCCAAGTTCAGATACCCAGTCATGCTTGTAAATAGCCAACTGGTTGCCTCCTGCCAGTTGGGGTTTTTAATCCTGTTGTGTTCTATTTCCTCAGTAAATAAACAGTTGGACTTTCACATGGCTGGGATGATCACATTGAAATTAACTTGTCCGCCCTTGTAGAATACAATGGTGTCCGTAAATAGTTTTTCTTGTGTTGAATATATTGACATCTCTTTCGATCCTTCACTTCTTCAAAACTTGCTTTTCTTATTTAAACAGGTTCAGCAAGCCAATGTTGATGACGAAGAGATTGCTCGTGCCGTCAACTCCAAGCTCGGAGAGACTCCTGGGATATCTTACTCAGAAATAGCTTCAAAGGCAGTGGACTGTGGACGAACGCACCTGGCCATCAAGGTTAGTTGAGAGCATTCACATGAACAGTATAATTATAGACTATACGTTCCCAGTTCAATTTGGGACATAAACTGGTGTCTTCCGTTAGTATTTCCTTGCTAAATGCACGAGGTTCAAAATAACGTGGGTTGATATAGAATGGGATTTTTACCTGCGGGATTGCGTTTACTGTGGGTAATCAAGAATTTTTTCCGTACCTGGAGTATTAAGACCTCGCTTGCTTTCAGCGCTCCACTTTATCAGGGAGCTTAAGCAAAGACGACGACGACGACAGTGAAAACGTCACTAAGAAAATGAATTTCCGTCCTTTCAATCTTTATCGCGTCTATTTGGAACCGCTTAATTCGTTAAATGTAGGCGACTTTTCCTGGAGTTAAATTCCTATTGTCTTTATCCATGTTCAAATAGAGAACGGAAAATTTGTTTTCGTATGTCCACGTCCTCCATAAAACGTCGCATTGGGAGGTTTCACGTCGTAATCGTGCAGTGGACGTCAAAGAAATGTACCAAAAAGCGTGATTCACGTGCAGAGCAGTCGTTTTGCTCATAAAACCAATTGTTGTTTGACGTTGTTGTTGTTGCAAAACAACGGGCGCTTTCCATTCAATCAAAACGTTCAAAGATTGGAAAAAGCGGCAAATGGTACAGAAATGTCCAGGAAAAGTTTCCAGAAATTCCGAAAGATGTTGAATTTCCGAAATGTGAACCGTGCATTCAATCGAAAATTCTAGAAATTCCCGGAAGCAAAGTTCAATGCAAAAAAAAACTTTCCGAAAAATTTTTTTTTAAAATTTGGGCACCCGTCGAGAAACAAAACTTACGGCTGCAAAGAAGAGCAATGGGGGAAAGAAACATCGAGGGTTTTAACAACTGACGTTTTTAATTCAATATAAAAAAACATGTTGAAGTTTTATGCTCTAGCCCTTCGTCAGACTGACCGAAGGGTTAGCACTCGAAATGTCCCTACTATGCCAAATTTCCTATGTCAACTTAATTGATTAATATAAATTCTTAGCTTTCACCGTGGTTTGCTCGAGGGGTTACCAACATGCTCGTTTCATGGGACGTCAACAACACCTGGAACAGACCGGATCAGATCAACCCCTGTAACTTACTGAATAACGAAAGGTAAGGGATAGTGCCTCTGGGAATGATCTGATCCGGTTCTGCGGTCCAGGTTTTGTCTACGGCCTTTCTCGTGGCTTCGCCGCTTGTGCCTCCACGAGGAGACCTGCTTACAGCCTGGCTTAAAGCCAGCCTTGACCTTTAGCTGGAGCAATCTCACCATAGTAAGCTCGTCGTTTGACAATCGGTAAACGAGCCTATCATAGCCAATTCATGATTCATAATGTATCTTTCAAGATGCTCACATCTTCTTGTTTTTTTTTTACCTGTAGCTTTTGGACTATGAGGCGGAAGCCGCTGACCAAGTTCCACTGCTCATGCGCATGAATAAAGATGACCTAGCGCTCGAGAAGGCCATTGTGAGTGGAGACACGGATCTGGGTGAGTTGTGAGTGGGTACCACTGCGGTTAGTTACAGCAGTTTGGTGATCTTTTTAGTCCGTTTTGTTTCGTCGTTGTCGCTCAAAAGCCGACTTATAGGAAGGTCTATCGTTATGTTGAAATTGTACCAAAGGTTCAAAAAAATTAGAATCAACTTTTTCTCAGCCTAAAAGTTGGCGTTACACTAGCGGTGTTACAAGCACGGGCAGAGTTGCAAACCGTAAAACATTTTTGAACTTGTTTTGTAGCTTATTATTCTGATCTTTTCTTGCCGTTGACACAATTTCAAGTATATTTCAACCATCTTGATCCTTACATGCTCTCCTCCAATGGTAACAGCTTTCTCTGCTCAGGTGATCAAAATTGATGGATCTGAACCGCCGTCATCCAAAACCCGCCTACTTGATTTTCCCCTGTATCTAGATGACATTTCATTTTTGTTGTCTTTTTTTTCTTTCTAGTATTTATGGTTGTTATGCATTTGAAGGATAATCTAACCCCTGGCGAGTTCTTGATGGCCATACGTTACCGTCCTGTGGCACTCAGACTCCACATCAAGGTGAGTCTATGAGAAAAGAGTTGTGTAAATGAGTGTGTATTTGTTCAAGGCTCCAACCAAGAGAAAACTTGCCGTGAGGTCCTTCAACGTAACGCTAATATTGTATTTGCTAGGAAACGTTTTTCCTTTTATACGTATACTCTTGAAGATCACAAAAATGACGTCAAAATGTTGGAGGAGTGAGTGGTTTTACGGTAACGTTTGTACCATCTAATGTCGATTCTTTTAAATGTCGGAGCCTCGGCAGTGAAAAATGGCTACTTGTCTAGCTATTTGTTGTTGTTTTGCGACAATGTCTTGGAGAATCGCGCTCAACAGACAGAGACAAGAAGGATCTTTCGTTTCTATTCTCTGTACTGTCATGAACAAAACCTGTCGACCAATCGGGGCGCAGAAAACACTCGGTTATTGTAAATCATTAAACTGTGTGGCAGGCGTCTTAAGAGGTATTGAAAAAAGTGAAAGTGGGAAAGGGAAGCCTGCTCTAGGACCACCTTTTTCATTTCTACTACCTTTCCCCTTCACTCTCTTTCCCTCTCTCTCCCCCTTCCCTTGTTTTGTACCTGCCACGCAGGCTATTGTGAAATCTATATATTCACTTTGGCATGACTGTGATTTGTCTGCAGTACTGTAAGGATCAGGATCGCCGTACACTTGTAGACCTGTTCTACCAGGATGACCAGTTTATTAACAGTGGTAATGCCTTTGTGCAGGACAGCTATAGCGAGAAGGTATCATATAAAGTAGCTTGAAATGCTATCATGCTTAGGAGGGGATCTGGTCGCAAGTTGTTTTATTATTTTATTTCTTTATTGGCTTAATATGTAATTTCAATTCTGAGCAAAGGTTCGCACGCTTCACTCCGTTTCTTCATGGCGTCATAGAATATTTTTGTTGTGACTTTATCAGACTACCAAGTTCCGCTTTTACCTCATTTCCGCATGGCGTTTTCCGGTTAGAAAATGGGAGAAACTTACTCCTCTTAAGGTCAGCAGCACTCTTGTTTATTTTGAACGTCATTGAGAGCCGAGAATACGTGTAGCAACTCTTATTTTTAATTTAACTCGTTCATCTCTTATTCTTAAACTGGAAACCTTACCAAAATTCGTTTTAATCATAACCAGTGATATCTACTACACGTGCGCTTATTGTTGCCAGCCCTCAATTCGGCGACCACGTGACCAAAGAAACGACAAGAATAGGATTCGACTTAAGTCAACAAGGTATCTGCTATTTTTCACAGGTGTCGTAGAGCCAACAAAGCGCACACGCCTGAAAATCGCAACTTGCAAGGAAGGCCGTCACACAAAGGGTTAAATGAGTTGCGTGACGCCTTCAGGTCGCTCTTGCAATCTGGTCCTCAGAGCTTTTCTTAGCCTTGTCTGGCAGAACAGTCACTTTTAGTGCTAAACCAGCAGGATCAAAGCCTTGGGAAGGTCATGTTGCAGCTGCTCGGAAGAAAAGTCACCAGTGGTGCCTAACCCTGACCCCAAACAATACTGAAACAATTGAAAGAATGACATGTCATTTTTTTCTGCGGCCAATCAGGAGAGACCTTCCAAGCAGCTCCTACACAACTACCTTGGGAAGGATATTGGCGCTGACGCTTTTATTCCTTGAGAAATGAGAGGCAGTTCGTCATCACCCGTCATAGAATAGAATCATCGTTTTCGTATCACTTGTCAGTACATTTGACATAAAACCTGATTTCTCATGATTTTCTTCTATTTTTATTGTTTAGGCAATAGAATCCAAGATAATAACATTGTCTAAAGCACAGATGTCTTACCAGCAAGGAGGATTTCAGTTCTACTCAAAGGTGTGTGCTCTTGACTTTGTTTCTTTGATTTAAAATACTCCAAACTCCACCAACGCTAGGGTCACCCATTTCTTACTACAGTAAAACCTCTATTAAGCGGACCCCCAATTACGCGGACACCCTTTGTTAAGCGGACTCTAAGCCGGGTCCCGAAATTAACGTCTTATATTAGCCTTTATGACGAATCCCAATTCAGCGGACACCTCTATTAAGCGGACGAGGACACTAAAATAAATTGTATTTGGCTAATTTCTATTGTTAAAAACCTCTATTAAGCGGACACCGGACTGAATTGACAATAGTAGTATTGGATTACGTCCTTGAAATACATACTGTAGTCGATTAATAAGGATAAATCAATACATTTAGCTGTCAAAAGTTGACCTAAAAGTCTTGCACCATGTAAAGCACAGCTTCCTTAGCGTCCTTAACAACATGGAACTTTATCACAGTACAGAGTAACCTTTGAACGTTAATCGTTAACAAACAATGTGCAATTTTTACAAAACCTCTATTAAGCGGACACTTGGGAAGGTCCGGAAGGTGTCCGCTTAATAGAGGTTTCACTGTTTGTGGGAGAAACAGAAGAGGGACGTTGTGCATTTCTTAGTGATCTAGGATAAGGGATAAACTTGAGATATTCGAACCAAAAGCACCCAGAAACTCTCCAGTCCTCTGTGTTTGATTAACAAATGCCTTGACTATGCTCTGTTCTGTTATAAATCACGCAGAAAGCGCCGGGCTAGGGCACGAAAGAAATGTAGGGGGAAACACGAGACGTAGTCGAGTGTTTCTCCCCACTTCTCAAGTGCTTTGTAACATAACAAAGCACAGTAAAGGTTTCTTTAGTAGTTTTATGATAAAGAATCCGTTAAATTCGCCACACATTACTTTCTAATTTTCAAAACAAACTGATAAACACGCTTTTTAAGCCAATCAGAGTGCGCGTTATACTGCTCTGAACTATAAATATCTCAATAAAATATTTCCTGTCAGTGATACATTCTATATACGCGCGATTTAATTTTTCAGGCAACAGAAGAACAAATGAAACTCATGGTATAATATCAAGTCAAACCAGAAGAGAAGTAAAGAAAGATATTTATGGACCTGTCTTTCAGTGATACTATCTACCAGGTGTGATAAAGACACTAAACTGTGTTAGCCTTTACCGTGGATTTT